GAATGTACTCTCCCTGCCTCCTCCTCCATTTTCCAATTTAAAAAAAAGAAAGAAAGAGATAATAGAATTTGTGAAATGGAAAACTACTGTAGATTGCCCTGATGACACAAGATATACTGCAACTCAACTCTGCTGCCAAGATAGAAAATATAATTAACATCTTACTGTCATCCAGCTCAAGACAGAGATTATATACAGCAATGGGCCTCTTATTACGTTGCCCTTGTCTTCTTGATTGTCGTGGTGGGGCATTTGGAGGAGATACCGACACAGGAATTGGCTCGGGGAAAGTGGCATCAGGCAGAGTTTGAAAAATCTGCAAAGAAGAGCACAAAGGGCATTAATTATCTGCTATGAACAGCAACCTGTAAAATGCAACTGTAAACTATTATCAACTAACATTTGTCTTGGATGCTATTCAGGCATGAAGAAGCCAAAACTATTGAACATGGGGAGTGTGCCATTATTCTTTTTAAAAATTAAAAACAAAACCAAATTTATAAATAAGCATAAATACCATCTACACATCAACTGTTCTGCAAATCATTTAATCCACAAACCTAAGTATGTGCAATTGTTCTTGCCAGCTGGCAGGGCCCACAGAAATAAGATTTATGAATCACAAAAGGCAAGGTCACTGGTTCAAAAATTTCACTGGCCCATATATTTTAGCCAAGTCTTTCATAGTAATTATCAAAATGGATGATAGAAACATGAGACAATAGTTTCTTTAAATTTTTGCCTTTAATATGATTTGTGGAATCATGTCTTAATATGATTCCCCACACCTACCAAGTTACTAAACTTTCTCAAATGGGTTCATACAAGACACATATTAATTAACTATTGGTACATGAATATAACCCTTGGTTATGCACATTTTCAGTAACTGACTGCTAAAACTTTCAACGAATGGAGGAGAGGATCTTTTTCAGCTGTTGTGTCTTGCCCGTGGACTCTCTCCGCAGAAAGTCGCACTGACACTAACATATTTTAGGCACCGCACGAAGACCTTATTTTCTTAGTCTTCCAAGCTCTGGTGTGTAGGGAAATCTCCACTTATGTGGGGGTTCCCTTCCCGGCCCCTGCACACAAGTGAGGATAGCCCCATTTCGCTCCACTTCCATTCCGCCCCCTTTTGTGTGTGCTGATTGCACACAAGTGGGGAGATCCCTGTATTTTAGCCCAGCTGCAATTGTTTTTATCACTGCCTTTTACTGTGTTTTATTAGTTATGGTCAACCGCCTTGGAAATTTTGAATTGAGGGGCAATACAGAAATTTTATTAAATAAATAAAATTAAACCTTTTTGAATTACAGATACTCTGTCCACCCTTACCTACTTTCCTACCATTTGCAACAAAGCAATAAATTACACCTGCTTGCTTTTGTTGTGGCAGGTACAGGTGGCTAAGCTCTTGCAAAGAGACATCTCATGTCTTCCAGCAAACATAGTAGCAATGACCCTAATTTCAATTTGCCCTTTTGCCATGTGATGCAGAGCCCTTTCACACAACATTGGAGCACACACTCTCTCTCCCTTGTTCCCATGTGTTGTAAACACAGCGTAATAAGGAAATGCTTCACACAAGCATGAGATACAGGTTTCAAAATCCAGCTGCAGCCAAGGGGCGTCCAGCTAATCTGTGTTAGAGTTAAAGGGTTGTAGTTTTGCTAGGTCATTCTGTCCCCCCCCATTAGCCTCTCTTCTGTAGCATGCAGGCAGATCAACATTTCTTTTTATTGCACTGGTGTGTGTGTGTGGTGTGTGTGTGTGTGTGTGTGTGTGTTTGTGTGAGGTGTGGGAACTCTCATCTCTCCTGACGGAGCTAGAAACTCTGGCTGCTGTGAATACGCTTATCTTTGCATTGTGTATAATTGTGCATGTTTGTCTGTATGTCTAATGCATCCATAATAACCTCAATTACCTAGGCTGTTAGCGTTATCATTGTGATTTTAGGCCAGCAGCTCAGCTCTTCCCTTGACTTTCAATGATCCAGCAACTGCAATACTGCACCAGAGATTGTAGGAATACACGCAGCAGTTACTTACAAAGCATCAAGGCCAGACATTGAGCAAAATGTCTTGGCAGCACATAATCACAGACTATAGCAAAGATGATCCTTTCCCTTCCCTTTCCTGCATGAATTTATTCACTTCACAGTTTGTTTCCGAGCCACCCGGCTGAATCTTCTTTTCTGACACCTTCATGAAATCTTTACTGATTGTTCTGTTTCCATGGATCTTGTGTTTTCTGTGCACATGAGATGAAAGGAATATAGAGTCTAGTATATTTCTAGTATCTAGCCTGAAATTGCATCTCTGTTTTTTATTATTATAAAACAATACCATGCATCCATTTCACCTGCCTCCATTTAATCCATTAAGCAACTAATTCACCATCTGAACTACACACACATTTAAAGCTTATCGCTTTAAACTGTCACCCCTTCTCCCAAAACTATCTTGGGAAACGGTAGTTTGTTAAGAATGCTCACAGTTGTCGGGAGACCCTTCCCCACCCCCCTCCAGAGCTATAAATCCCGAGAGCTCCTGAGAAGAAGGATCGATGGATAAACTACTCTGAAAATTGTAGTTTAGTGAGGCATGGCCAAAGTGTATTGAACCTTGTTCAAGCATGTGTCTCACATGCTGGCCCCATGAAGCCTTATGCCATATTCGGTCTATTTGTCACAACAACCCTGTGAGGTGACGTTCCATGACAACATGCTGCTGGAGATGTAATAAGGAAAATGCTTCTTTGAAGCATAGGTTGATTCAGTGTCTGATGCTTACAAATATTTGGAGGAAAATACTAAGATGTAGATCAGGCATAGGCAAACTCAGCCCTCCAGATGTGTTGGACTACAACTCCCATGATCCCTAGCTAACAGGACCAGTGGTCAGGGTTGGTGGAAATTGTAGTTCCAAAGCATCTGGAGGGCCGAGTTTGCCTATGCCTGATGTAGAAATACTACCATGGGGGAAATGTTAAATTGTCAGATGATAATATTATCCAAACCGCAGGTGGTTTGACAGCAGGTCAGCATAAATGTACTCTTCAGGCTCTGACTTAAAAGACTGATATTGATTCATTGGAAAGATAACACCCTGCCCCCCTTTGAATGATGGGTAGAAAATATGACTACTCTTGCACCAGAGTGAGAAGGGGGGGAGGGAGAGAAACAGCAATATTTTATCTTTTTTTAAAAGCAAAGTTAAGCGTATCTGTAGCATCATACCTAACACCTAGGTTTCCACAGTTCTGAAAATAATCCCTTGGAATTGTAATGTAAAACCAGTGAGTAAGCCTGAGACTTACAGAGTGCCCTTCCTAAATGGTACCCATGTCTGCTAATGAAGATGACATTTTGATCAGATGGAGGAGGACAGGGGGAGGGATTATTTTAAACTCAAGGCGCTGATGCCAGTTTGACCTTGTTCTAAATATGGCCAAGTTATGAATAAATCATCCAGATTTTTATACTTTGTCCCCAAATGCTAACCCACACAGGAGTATCCTTTGTCTCATGTATCAGTTAATCCCACTTAATTGCTGCATTGCCACAGTAGATTCAATAGCATCAAAACCAGACTTCTGAAAACAAGGTTATAGGCACATTTGGGAGCTGTTATTGAGGAACAGCACCAAATAAAAGCATACAAACCATGGTAGAAATGGATCGTGTTAGTCTGAAAACCCAACTCAGCAGGGCAGCTAGCAAAGAAAGCTGTAAGCTAGCAATGGGTAAGGAATTTGTGAGGTGTTAAAGAAGCATTTGTCCTTTTAAAAAAATAATGCATTTTCTGTCTGAGTCCAGGAGTATCTGCCCCAGTGTGTGAGTATTCTCATATGTCAAGATTAATGGATGTACTGACTTTTCGACTGAGTAGTGGTAGCAAAGAGCTAAAAGTTGTGCAGGAAGGAAGTAAATGGCTGGATTTCCTGGTCCGTGCACTACTTGAGTGTTTTCGCCATCACAGAAGGCATAGAGGATGCATCAGTTAGAAAACTAGACAAGAACTTTATTGTCTTGAACAGCACAGAAAATGTTTGCCTCCACCTGGATACAACTAAATCCAGTGCCACCTCATGACTAAACTACATAATGGCACTATTCGCTCCCTCAACATGCACCTTTTTGTTGTTTTCCAGTTCTGTAGTTCACCTTCTGGCCTCACTCATAAAGGAAATTCGGTACACAACCATTCAATCTGGAAGTTGCCTGAGCATGGAGTACAGAGGCCAAGTCATTTCTCTCCAAAAACAGCCAGAGCATTCCTAGTCACCAAGGCCACCAGAGCCTCCAGCAACAGTGTTGAATCCAGCAACACGCCAAGGAGTTCCACACGTCTGGGTTTTCCAGGACATTATTCGTTCAGGAAAATGGCGTCCGGGCAGATTTTTGCTGAAATGGTAAACGTCCGGGGAAACCCAGATGTATGGTAAGTTGGGCTATTTTTATTTTTACAATTCTTTAAAAATACAAGAAAAGATCCAAAATGAATGTTTTTGGGGGAGCTCAACAACTTTGCCCCCCCCCCAAAAAAAATCAACAACTCTGTCTGGATTTTCACTTTGGGAAATATGGGAACCCTAACCACCCGTAAAGCTGTAGTCCTGCTCCTTTCAAGGTAATGTAACATTGTCCAGAACAGGATGTCTTGCCGCCTCCCTGGGCTTTGCTGGATTCAAATGAAATGGCAGGATAAATGTGCTGAAAGAGACTTTTATTCTACTTGGTGCTGATAAGGGCTTAGTGATTTAAGAAGTCCCCAGAAGGCCAACTGCAGAGATTTTGAATTGCTTGTTTGGAAATAATGCGGGGTAAAGCTGTGATTTATAATCTTTCTGAAATTTTGCTCTGGTTTTTATTTTATTTTTAAAGACAGAAATTCCATTTTACTCACTATGACAGCCTATTGTTTACAACTTACCCCTCCTTTCCGTTTTCTGACACCACCGGACGGCGTTCTCGCATTCTGATTTCTTCCACCATGTGTTTCTCTCTTACGCACAAAGTAATTACAGCCAGCCTAAAACACACTGCCCGTGTCACAGTCTTAAAATTTATAGCATTGATATCCTAACATACTTCCCTAATACCTATGGAACTGGCTTTTTACCCTTCACTTGACAAAACTGCATACATCACACAATGGGGTAGATCCCAGAGGTCCTGTGTTGTGCCGAGCCAATTTTCCTGGGATTTCTTGTGCTTTATGGATCTGACTCTATCTCCCATCCATTGCCTGTGATGATTTGTACATTTCTTATTTTGCCATTTGAATAGGAAGGTTGCATAAAGTCAAGTCACTGGAAATTATTTATTGTTTTCTCTGGATAATTTCACTCTAATGGGGCTGAGAAAGTGACATCTGCTCCACACACTAATGCTAGTTACAAAAGGAATCTCCAGCAGTGGGAAATCCAACTGCTTGATGGGTGCAGATGGGCAAAGTTCCCAGTTTTTCCACACCTCAAATGTGGCAGCAACCTGTTATTCTGGGGCTCAGGGATCGCAGGGGAAGTGGTAGCAGCCTTAAGGAAGGTCACATCAGGTCAAGTTCATATAAGGTCAGGTCCCAGTAAGCAGGTTTACATCAGGTCAAGTTTGTGGGATGGGTTTTTAATGAGTAAGAGAGGATATATTAATTGCAATTTATCCCTCCAAGTGCCCACCTGTGTGAGTTGAAAAGAGGTTCAAAATCCCATCCTTAGGAGCAAAATTAAAAGTATAGGAATTAGGCTATAAAACCTTGTTTTGAACAAGTTCAGCTATGGATTAAGCTGGCTCCCCTTTCTTATCCCAGTTAACAAAGAATCAGGCAACAATCTGAAAAGTAAGTTTAAAAATTAAGTTCAACTTACTTATATTCTTGCAGCTGTTCACAGCGATGGCATTAGTCAAAACTATGCAGGCAAAACACTCATATTTACAGTATGTGCCTAAAGTTGGAACAAGCACAAGGCTTGTCTGCCCTCACAGCTGATCACTGGAAGAAAGAGAGGAACAAGAAGTACTATATGCTCCTTCTTCTCCAGGAAAGAGAGGGAAATGACATCACACAGAGACCACTCTACCAGTTGTATTTCTATGTTCTGAGTACCTGCCTATCAGCAATACAGCTCTGTGGACTTAGCCCTTTCTCATGCTAACCAGCAAGAATATACATTAGTTGGGTTGGACTGCTAATCTCCCACAAAGTCAGATTTAGAAGCACTTTAAGGTGGGTGGCTACCAAAGTGAGGGTCTTTTCAGTGTTGGCACCTGGTTATGGAATAGCCTCCCTTGTTTGGATTCTTGTTTGGGTTTTTTCCACAGTGAGCTCTGCTGCTTGTAGCTCTCCCTCTACTGTAGATAACATGGGAATGTGGCTTCAGCTAAGCATTGAAGCATCATAAAGCTACTGCCTGTTATGCTGCTGGCACTGTCTCCCTAGAGCTTCCTCAAACTCGGCCCTCCAGATGTTTTTGGCCTACAACTCCCATGATCCCTAGCTAGCAGGACCAGTGGTCAGGGATGATGGGAACTGTAGTTTCAAAACATCTGGACAGCCAACTTTGAGGAAGCCTGCCCTAGAGGATCTGTCTGTTCTTTTAAAAGGGTTTATTTTTGGTTCTGCAACTGCAGAGAAGCAGGAGATGCTACTGAGGGCTCTTGAGTCTGAGGAAGGCAGAAGTTCCATGTCCTCAGGCTTGAAAAGTGTGACATGCTGAAATTCTATCCACTGGGTGGAGCAGTGTGAATCTTTTCCTCATCTGGGCTTCCTTGGAGGCAGTGCAAGTTATCAGCTTTGGGAGGCCATGACAAACCCATTACCAAATCTTATATTTTTCTAGCTTTTGGAGAACACAAATGAAGAACACAAGAGCTAACTGGTATGAGCTGTTTCCAGCTAAGGCTGCTTATACATTATACCTTAAAGCACCTTCAAAGCACATTCTTTTACTCAAGGAATTCTGGGCTCTGTACATTAGCCCCCACACAGTTGTAATTCCCAGCAAGCCTTAACAAACTGCAATGCCCATAATTCTTTGAGGGAAAGAATTAAATGTATAATGTGCACACAGCCTAACAGTCCCTGGTTGTAAATTAAAGGTAAAGGTACCCCTGCCCATACGGGCCAGTCATGTCCGACTCTGGGGTTGCGCGCCCATCTCGCTTAAGACGCCAGGGGCGAGCGCTGTCCGGAGACACTTCCGGGTCACGTGGCCAGCGTGACAAAGCTGCATCTGGCGAGCCAGCGCAGCACACGGAAACGCCGTTTACCTTCCCGCTAGTAAGTGGTCCCTATTTATCTACTTGCACCCAGGGGTGCTTTCGAACTGCTAGGTTGGCAGGCGCTGGGACCTAGCAATGGAAGCGCACCCCGCCACGGGGATTCGAACCGCCGACCTGACGATCAGCAAGTCCTAGGCTCTGTGGTTTAACCCACAGCACCACCCGCGTCCCTAAGGTTGTAAATTAGCTGTTTTTTTTAAAAAAAATTTATACCATCCCCCTTTAGTTTCCCCCCCCCCCCAAGTTTTATTGTCCCTTTGCAAAACTTGTGGTTCCATCAAACCTCCGGATAGCTCCCTCATGCACAAGAGTGTGTATCCTTCTGCCTACATATACAAACCACACACATCCTGAACACGGAGATATTAGCATATTAGGAAACTGGCCCTGTAATGGCTTCCCTTGGAACAGCCTTCTCTTCAAGGTCGCAGAAGGGAGCAAAGGACTTTCTTGCCATCATGTTCCTCTGTAATAATGCAAGGCCTATGAGAATTCTGTCAAGTACAGGAACAAGACAATAATGAAGCTGAAGACAAAGAACTGTAAAGAGAATTTTGAAATGATAATGTTTCAGCGCTGGATCCTAGGAGATTTGACTTCTACTGAAGGATGCTTCCTTGTTAAAAATCAGCCTGTGGGAGTGTTCTGGAGAGCTAATTCCCTCCTCAAAACATAGCATGGAAAGAACGAGTCTCTTTCATTAGGCCCCCTCCTCCCCCTGAGATGTGGGCACCTGAAGAATCCCACTCTGCCAATGTTGAAACTTAATTATTGACAAAAGTTCCCTTTTCCTTTTGCCGTGGAATGAAATGTCTAACAAACCCAATGAATAGTGATTGTTTAGTACACAGCACAGCCCCAGATTATCATCACTCTGTCAAGTGAAGAGAAGCATCGCTGTAACTTCCTCAGCCATGGAACGCAGTGGTTTTTAATGTGGTTCTAGCAGAATACCAAAGGCCATTATCCCTGGCTGAAACATGATGTGCTTCAAAGAGAGATATTCACTGAGAGATATTCATACACACACACACACACACAGAGAGAGAGAGAGAGAGAGAGAGAGAGAGACCTAGGGATTGAGGCAGGGGGCAAAGGAGAACAAAGGGGGAACTAACTGAAATTTTGGGGGAGTGTCTCATCAGAAAGTTCTTCCCAAATGCATGGGTGCCTAGTGAACAGATGAAAGAAAGCAGGGAATTGGATGAATAAGTGCATCAAAATCAAATGTTAAAGAGCTTGGCTTGCAGCTGGTACCCAAGAAAATGCCAGTGTGATATTTCTAATGGGAAAGTCTTGGCAGATTAACAGTAATTAAAACAGAGCTAAATACTCTCTTCCTTTCTTCCACATATTTATCCAGTGAATAATGTGTGTTCAACTCTTACTAAGTCCCAGCACAATGCAGAATCGCATTCCTTTGTCTCCCTATTCCTTAATAATTGGTTACTCTTGCTCATGAATTTTACTCTGAAATGGAGCCAAAGTTAATGTATAAAGAATACCACCGTTGTCAACTTCAGTGAGAATGTTTTGCAGGAAGGGGGTTTATTTTAGAATGTCAGCTTTCACGCAAGATCTCTCCTACTCAGAGCAGTAGCTCCCACACTTTCTGTGGCAGAATAAGTTTCACCCTTCATTTCAGAGGGCCTTCTCGGTAGTGGCGCCCACCCTGTGAACACCCTCCCTTCAGATGTGAAGGAAATAAGTAGCTATCCTATCTTTAAAAGACATCTGAAGGCAGCCCTGTTCAGGGAAGTTTTTAATATTTAATGCTGTATTGTTTTTAATACTTGATTGGGGAGCCGCCCAGAGTGACTGGGGAAACTCAGCCAGATGGGCGGGGTATAAAATAATAAATTATTATTATTATATAGTCCTGCTCCTTTTCCTGTTACCAGATCCTAGGAGCCAACTCCTAGGAGCTGAAGGTCCCTTTGCCCCCCTCATAAAAATATTTGAGGGGACCAGGGCCCCCAAGCTAATGGACCATTGCCATTCAAATGATGTGTGCGCACCATGTCTTGTGATCAAATGGGGGGGCAGATAAACCCCATGTTTTATTCCAGAACAGATTTGAGGGCACAGAGGGAGAGGGAAGGTCTCATTGCGCAGGCAAAAATCTTACAGTGATGGATGACTTCACTGGCTTACAACACAATGTTGAATTGATAGTAACCAGTTAGAGATTTTTTAATGATTAAGCAGTATATAAATCCTGTTAAATAAAACAAACAAACAAATAAAATCTGGCAGAATCTTGTTAGTCTAGCACAGAGTGTAGCAGGATTTGAAGTTTACTCACTTTTACTTGACAGAATGCAACCTCGCTGGAAAAGGCCAGTGAAATGTTGACCAGTTGACAATCCTTACATACGCTCCAGCATTTCCCAAAGAAAATAGGGACGTCCCATTCCATAGTGATAATTTTTACTATTTATACCCCACATATCTCACTGGGGTTGTCCCAGCCACATAATAAAACATTAAACATTAAAAAAGAACTGAGCTGTTTTGGAAACAGTGGTACCTTGGTTCTCAAACTGTAATCCATTCTGGAAGTCCGTTCCAAACCAAAGTGTTCCAAAACCAAGGTGTGTTTTCCCATAGAAAGTAATGCAAACCGGATTAATCCATTCCAGACTTTTAAAAACAACCCCTAAAACAGCAATTTAACATGAATTTTACTATCTAACGAGACCATTGATCCATAAAATGAAAGCAGTAATCAATGTACTATACTATATATAAACAAGTAAGACAGTATTGTAGATGATAAAAATTAAAAATTAATTGTTTTTTCCTTACCTGCACAAATGATAGCCATTGTTTGTGATGTTAGGCTTTTGTCCATTTCCACAGTCACACATCAATCAATCAATCAATCAGTAGCTGAACTGGTTTCCACACAGTCACAAAAACAAATTAACCAAAAAATCCTCAAAAACAAAATTGCAAATTAAATAGCAAAAACAAAAGCATCAAACTTAATCCATTCCGGAAGTCTATTCGACTTCCGAAATGTTCAAAACCAAGGCGCAGCTTCTGATTGGTGCAGGCAACCCAGAAACAATAGCTGACAACCGTATTGGATGTTTGGCTTCTGAAAAACATTCAAAAACCAGAACACTTACTTTGGGTTTTGGCGTTTGAAAAGCAAGGCTTTGAGTATCAAGGCATTTGAGAACCAAGGTACCACTATAGTAGAGTGCTTGGTATTTTGGTGGGCGGGGCTTGTGTGCTTTGCTCCGGAATCAGCCCCTCCCTTCCATGTGTGTTCAGTTTCTGTTCAGTTAAGAATGTCCTTAAGAGGGACCAACTGTGTCTTCTTGTTTCTTGCTCCTGTTGCTGCATTTAGTTTCTCTCATTATGTTATTCTGTTACAGTTTTCTTTATTATTAAAGCTTAGTTTATATTTACGTGAGCCATTTATTTTCTCAAAGAAAATTCATGAGTGGGCTGGCCTTGCCTGACATCAATTATGGGCATGGACACTGGTATCTGTTTACCTGTAAGCACAAACCTTTAGTGTGTGTAGATGATAGATAGATAGATAGATAGATAGATAGATAGATAGATAGATAAGATAGATACAAGTTTCTCAATCTACCAGCTTTGCACAAAACAGAAGCCATGTGTGTGTGGCCAGGACGCAGGCCTGTTATAGCTTCTGGGCTTGGCAAAGAACGTGAGCCTCACCTGAACCTTCTCCAGATGAGGAATCACACACCTCCTCCCCAAGCTAGCGAGCCCCACCTGGGCTGTGGGTCATTGCCTGCCTTCCCTCAGAACTGACAGCTGTAAGTTCTGGAATTCTGAGATCAGGGATGGTACATCCTATTTCACCACTTGAGGCAAAACAGGAAGTACCACTCTGCTCTGCCACACCACCACCCGTGGGACACTCACTGCCACTGCGCCACCTGCCAGTGTCACTGCTGCTGTACCATAGCTTCGAACATTTTTCCAGTGAAAATAGGGAAGTCCCATTCCATAATGATAATTTTACTATTTACACCCACACATCTTATTGGGTTGTCCCAGCATTCTGGGCAGCTTCCAACACATATAAAAGCATAAGAAAACATTAAACATTTTTAAAACTACCTTCCATATACAAGATTGCCTTCAGACAACTTGGGGGTCAGATAACTCCATACCCTCCAACATTTCTCTGATGAAAATAGGGACCTCCTAAGGAAAAAGTGAGACATTTCAGGATCAAATCAGAACCCAGGAAGACTTCTCTAAAGCAGGGACGTCCCTGGAAAATAGGGACACTTTTAGGGTCTGTTCTGACTCATGCCAGGCAAAGAAAACTGAAAAACATGTGACTGTCTTATAGAGCCAAAGCAATGACCCACAGATAAATATTGACCGATGAACACGGAGACACACACACATGTGTAAGGTGGGATGGGGTAGAGGTGTCCTAAAAAATGAGTTGCCTGTACTCATATATTGATCAAAGTGTTATGGATGCCCACATAAATAGCTGTACTAGTGAGAACTCTCTCACACACAAGCCTGTTGTTCAGTGCAGACATGAAGGATACCAATCCAACCAAGAAGCATCTCAAAGACATTTTTTTCCTCGGCCAATCATTCCCAAAAGAAAGATTTGTGTTGACAGAGCTTACGCTGTGCAGTGTATTTGCTCTACAATATTTCAGCAGTTAAGCTGCTACAAACGATACAAAGCCTTCAGTGATCCTTTGCAGGCTTCCACTCTCCCAGGAGATAAATGACTTCTGCAACCTTTTAAGGTGCTTTTTTATAAAAAGGAAAAGAAAAGAAAAACTGTGGGACCTGAACGAGGGGGACAACAGTGCCCCAAATCAGTGAATTTGACATTGTGTGGTTTGATTATCAAGCTCTATGGTTCCCTCACACCCTTAGGTGAGAAACATCTGTAGTTATTAGAAACTGCTCCAAGCATGCTCTCAGCTAGATCATTATGTTATTTTAACGTGCCTCATCCAGGATTTGAACTTCTGGAGGGCATAGCATGCCCCTATTTATGCAGGTGCAGTAAAAGATTTTGCTGTATTTCATCTCTGCCTGTCTCTCTTCTCCATGCAAATGGGAATGCTTTCCCATGGAGCTCCCTGGCTTCATGAATTTTGACAGCACTAGTGATGTCTCTCCCATGAAAACCCATGAAAGGAAAGAACACCTGCGCAGTAAACTTATTTGCAGTAAAATATCTGACAACTGGAGATAAATGGAGGTTGCAACTGTGTCCTTCTGTGATATCCTTTTTACCCTTTCCAAATAAAACTTTCTATGATTGCTGGATTTGCTAAGCAGAGAGAGAAGCGAGGCCAGGTGCGTATTATATGCCTGTCATTACTAAGGTGTGTATTCATGGATATATTCGTATTGCAAGAAGACTGGTGGGACGCGTTCCTACACAACTGTCAACAGACACAGGGTTAACCTGGGATAATGAAGGTGGTGATGGTGATGATAGAACAACAATTTCTGGTGCCCCACCCATCTGACTGGGTTGCCCCGGCCACTCTGGGTGGCTTCCAACAGAATATAAAAGAATGCAACAAAACATTAAAAGCTTCTAAAGCACCATAACAGAGTACCAGTCACGTTTCAGTGTTATGTGGTGGGAATATGTGTGCCTCCCCACTCTATTACAGACCTCCCTGTGTTTATAGCAAGGAAAGTGTGTTGAAGGTTCCAAACTGTTTTCGCTTAGCTAAACTGAAGTCTTCACTTAACTGAAGTCTTCAAGCTATGATAATACAGGGCTCCTATGTGCAGAGGTGTCTACACTCAGTCAAGTAAATCCAGGTAAAAGCCTCATTCAGACATCTCCTGCTCAACCTGGGAAGATCTGGGGCTGACCAGCATGCATGGCTCAATACCCCAAATCCAGACTGCTATTTCTTGCTCAAGCATGATGCCTGAATGAGGATAGAGTTTGTTAATCTTATCAGAATCATTTTTCCTGCCTTTAAAATCCCTGCAGATGTTTTGGCTGCAGAAGATTTTACAGGTTTGACTGGTGTCTCCCAGGCAATGTTTGGTGATGGCCTTCAAGTTGAACAAATCCAGTTTCCACTGACATTCTGTGTATGAGGTAACAGTGCACTTGGGTCCCGCGACAAAACTTTAAGCGCGCCAGCCTATCTCGTAGCAGATGCTCGAGTGGCAATAGAAAATGATCAAAGTTAATCCTGTTCTGAGAAATAATGAGCACAAAAAGTGCATAACAAGCGTAAACTTAATCCCTTTCATCCGAAAGGGTTATTAGAAATGGATTCTTACATTTTCTGCCAGTATTTGAACCTACGGCTATGTTATCCCGTTTCGACTCTTCTCTGTGTGAATGATCGTTTCTAAAAGATCATCTCACTCCTCATATATGCCAAATTGTTCACTGTGATCTATAGGGGAAGGATCTCCTCAGGAGGTCCATTGTATATGATACAGGAATCAGGCCTCTAGCATGGTGGCATCTACCTTTTGGAACTTCCTCCCTGGTCCGGCCC